GGAAATAGAAAGAGGGTTTTCTAGCTTCAACTCTTTTATGACTTATGGAGAGGTGTGAGTGTAGAAAAATGCAATTGATAGCGAAAGGATAAAATCCCAAGAGAAGCGTCCCAGCCTCAGAATGGCTGTTCTAACCACATAGAAATTGACTGGGATGTAGTTTGATGCTGGGCAAATGTTTCTTTGAATAGCTATGTTAAATTAGCTATGTGATGCTTTACTGGTGAATTTATTATAACAAAGTGATTTTTATTTAAAAGAAAACAAAACAAAACAACAACAACAACAACAACAAAAAACCTGTGTCAGCACCACGACACCCGATAAAGCTGCAGTGTGTAAACTGCTGGTACTGCCAATGCACTGTGACTCACAGCCACACCACCAGTTGTGATACACTACCTTCGGGGCCACAGTCAAAACAGTTCATTCCGAGTGTCCTTCAACATTACACCCAGAATGTGGACTATGGAAATGGAAAGGAGAAGGTCTTGGATAACACTGAAAACAATAGGATCGTTTTCATTAGCCTAAGGGTTCACACCACAGTTAAGGTTCATAGTCAGAATTTTTTTTTTTTTTTTTTTTTGGTTTTTCGAGACAGGGTTTCTCTGTGTAGTTTTGCGCCTTTCCTGGGACTCACTTGGTAGCCCAGGCTGGCCTCGAACTCACAGAGATCCGCCTGGCTCTGCCTCCCGAGTGCTGGGATTAAAGGCGTGCGCCACCACCGCCCGGCCAGAATTTTTTAAAGACAGTTCTGAAAAACAATCCTTGCAGACACTTCTCAATCCAGCGGGTGTGCAGAAGTAAAATACCAGGACCAGAAGAATCAAGCCTGAGCATTTCATGACATCACTTGGAAACATGAAATCCGCTATGCTCTTCATGGCCATAAGCAAAGCGCACTTATTCAGCCATTTTATCAGTGTGAGATGGGGAGAGCGCAGATGTTATTTTATTACCTCTGTTTCCACCAGTTGTCAGACAATACTCTGAAACTGTTTCTCATAGCAGACAGCTTAGTACCCACAACAGACTCTTCAAACTCTCTAATTTTACCAAGATTCGTTCTTTTTTTTTTTTTAAGCACTCAAATTCCAATCCTCAATTCAAATCGCAAGTCTTACACGGAGTGAGCCAAATCGTTAGAAACACATGGAGTCAGAGAGAGTGACCCAACTCAGGAGCATCAGTGGCCTATGAGGATTGTAACTATGATGCACATCTACAAGTGTGCAAGTTTGAAGAGATCAGTCCTGAATTCCCACGTCCAGCTTCACGGAGAGCCACGGAGGTGCAGAAGTGACTGGCGGTGGAGGTGGACCGCCGTGTTTTGGAGTGCCGGCGAGTGCCTCTGGCTGCAGCTTGTGGGCCTCGCCAGCCTTCGGTTACAGAGTTGCTGCTTTCATTCTGTCCGAGAGTTCCTGACCAGACATGTCAACTGAGAAGGCAAGGAGAGAAAGACCCAACAGCCAAACCACTTTCAGAAGAACACACTAGCAACTAGCAAATAAAGTATTTCCTGATGGGAACTGAATCGTCAGGTTAAGAAACATCCTCCTACCTCAAAAGCGGAATTCAAGAAGGGAGACACTCACTAATTAAAATTCAAATGCATGTATGAATTAGTGAAACAGTAAAATGAAACCCACTGAAATTCTGTAGTTCCATACGTCTTTCCAACGATACTTGACTTGTCATTCAGGAGATATTTAAAGCAGATTATAGCCCCATGCCATTATATTTCCATCTATGCTTTCATGTGCATCTCTTTAAAATCAAAGAAAGTTTCCTTTATAACCACCATATCGTGTGACTAAATTTTTAAATAACAATTCACTACTTTAAAGAAATACAAGAGGCATCAGGAGTTCAAGGTCATCCTCAGATACTCATAGATTTTGAGGCTAGCTTGGAATACATAAGATCCTGAGATTCTGTCCAAAAAAAAAAAAAAGACAAAGAAAATACTTCCTGTTTCTATAGTACCCATTGCCAAATAAATTACATATTAAAGGATATACATATTAAAGACATAAAGCTAAAATTGAAGTAAGGATAGGATGGCAAAATTAAGCCATCAACAAAAGTATTAAACACAAGTGCAACCTGAAGGTCTTATTCTAACTTTAAATCCAACTTCTTGCTTCACTGGGGCCAGGCAGGCAGAAAATCTGCCAGTCACAAGATTCAGTGTCTATAAAGGAGAAATAGCATCAGTTCTCTGGAGAGCATAGCTTTTCCCGTCCCTAAAGTCTGTGAGGAATTTCTCCTTGATATCTTCATGAAGAAGAGAGTGTGATATTTATTAGACAATACACTTTACAAAATCCCCACAATAAATACAAAAGCCATTTTGTGCTGCTCCTGTTAGCGTGCCCCAGCAGCAGGATACAACGGAGAGTTGAGGTTCAGTTGAGCAAAAGTTATCCGATAAGGGCCAGAGCCTCACCTCACATCCACCTGGCTGCCACCATCCCGAGACAGAGCATAAAGCCCATTCATTTCAGATACACGTTTAATTTCCCTCGCAGACTCCCAGCATCCCAATTCCCCCATTAATAACACAGTCCTCATTTTAAGAACTCAAATCCAGCTGTTACAACTTTTAAGTGCTGTTATCCATCGCAACTCAGCATGACACCAAATGTGTCTTCCACATTCATTCATCATTTGTGAATTTGGCCTGGACACTGGATTTTCTTCCCCCGTTGTTCAGGAAGGGTGCAAATGCCAAAAGCAATCAATCTATGCAGCAAATCAATGTGAACAGCCATTAGGGGGAAGCACTAACCGTGCAGCATTTTTTTTTTTTTTAATAGCAGCCGAATTTGTCTTTGGATCTAATGACTACAATAGCCATGCACTAAAAGGGCCACCTCCCTTAGTCTATTAAAAACAACAACAAAAAAAGAAAACAAGACCAAAAACCTCTTCCCCTAGCTTTGCAGTTTCCAAGCTGCAGGAACAGCTTGAGGCTGGGTGGGGGTGGTGATCCTGCTCTGTCGGTGATGCCGTTTGGGCAGCCCAGGCATCCTCAGCTCAACACACACACCCCTCCCCGCGCTGCCGCATGGATCCTCCTTAAGCACTTGGCTTCCCAGCATCCTGCTACCTACTGAGGATATCTGTGGAGGTGCAAAAACTCAATTTCTTTGTGTCCTCTGTGAGTGTGACATCGCTCATCACGTTTTTAAAGATTTCCTCTTGGCTTCCGCTAAGAGCCTTTGCTAGCTTCCCGCAGTCCTGCTTAGCACACGCCTAAATAAACCTGTTTGATGCCACCATCTCTCAGGAGTCCAACCAGAAAACATCCCGAACATCATATATTTATGTGAGCTGACAGCGAGAAACAATAAGGAAAAAAAATAGAAAATCTGGGTATATAAACAACTTATTAGGAAATGTAAGAAAAAGAATGAAAAGGAAGCAAAAATATTTGGGGAAAATTTAAACAACCCACAGTGGCAAAATATGTCCTATTCACACATTTCATGTTTTCCTGGGTAGAACATTCTCATTTTTAAAACCCCAGCAACAGCTCCAAGAAACAAATGTCTTTGAAAATTCTGTTTCAGGGGAACATCCCTGTATGCCTTTGAGATTTTTGCCTTCTGAAAATTATTGCAAACAGCACAAAAACCACCAGTGCAGGAAACAGAATCAAGGTAATGGATGGCCTTTAAAAAGAAGGGGAAAAAAATATTCAAGAAATACTATGCTCAAGTCACTAATGTTAATACTTAGGAAAATATTATTCCCTGTAGGTAAGAAAGTAGGCAAGATGCCTGAGTGTAACACATAAAATAACAGTATCAGAGAAATGAACTTAGGAAAGCCAGCAGGAATTCTAGATCATTTCAGGGCGCTGACAGAGAGAGCATCCAGCGCATTGAGGAAGGCTGTTAATACCACACAAGAGCTGCACACATCAGCTCACCTTTATCTTCCAATAGACCACACAGAATTTTGTCGTCTTTAGCCTGCAATATCTATATTTATAATTAAATACTTTATGAGTACCCCAAATATAGTCTTAATTTGAAGTCTTCACATTAAAATGCCTAGTGTTGTCTTTTTTGTTTTCTTTTCTTTTCTTAGGTATATGCTTCCTAAAATCCACACCACAAATTATACGTGCTTCACAATGACTCTGTCTTGATTGAAGGCTTCATGTTCGTACTGTGTTCAGTACCTGAAGATTTACAGTACAATCAAGGGACTCACAATTACATTTCAAAAAATTAAACTGGAGGCTAAAATTTGGATAGTGTCTTGGAAAAGTTCAAGTTCCATATTAAAAACAGGAAGGATTTGGGATTTAGAGGCCATTCTATAGAGGATGATGTGTCACAGAACCCCTCAGTCAAAGTGAGAAAACTCATGTAGAATGTCCAGCAGAGATGCGTAGAAGTCATTTCTCTTTGCTTATGATGGATTGTACAAGCCATCCTTCTGGCCAAACCCAATGCACGATCTGGAAGGTGTTGTATCAGATATGCACTCTTTAGTGCCACTGGGGGAAAGCAGGGTGGTTTACTCGGTGAATGCATCAAAACCGCAGCAGAAGAAACCAACCACTGAGATCAGTGTGCAAGAGGAATCACTCCAGGAAGATGTGGGCATGATTAAAGTTTTTGGTAATAAGCTGTTCCTCGCTGCTTTAGAAGTTACATTGCTTCAACTACCCAACTCTTAAAATGCACAGAGTGCTCTTCTGGAACTCATCCACTTCTCCATCCACCATAGCTGAGTCTTTTTTTTTTTCCTCCTAATTAAGGGCTTCCAGTTCTTAATTGCCTAAATCTCTCTGGGGAAGTCTCAATTCACAAATCACAGATTGATTTGTTTGTGGTGGGACAAAATTACTGCTTTCCCTGTAGTTTTAAATTGTCTTCTAAATACCTGTAAGAATCTATGATTGGGGTCATTCTTTATATAAAGTAGTAGTATGTTACAGAAGGGAGATTCTTAATGGCTTAATCCATATTTAGACTCACCATAGGCACAGAATCCCAAGTTTTATAACCAGGCTTCAAGACTGGAATCAAAAGAAGAATGGGGATTAGAGAAGATCCTTTAATTCCCTACATGATATTCTAATTTGAAGTAATAAATGAGAGTGAATATTCTCCCTCCTCTCTCTCTCTCTCTTTCACTCTTCCTCTCTCTCTTAAGTCTAATTCTTCACATTTTTTGTGGAGTTCACGGAGTGTCCTGAATATCCCCGGAAACTAGTTTTCAAATAGCACTTTCTAGGTCTTCATGGCCAACAAAATATCCTCTTTAAATCTAGAACAAAGAAGACCCCAATGGCTTCAGCAGCAGCATATTCTACCGTCAATGCTGACATGCTAGATGTCTGCAGAGCTGTTTATCTTACAGAGAAGTGATCCGTTTTTCTGCTCCTTCCCTAGCCAAGCAACGTCAAGAACATTTACATTTTCTATTAAGATTACTAGCAAGACACAGAATTATTTTCTCAAATCCTGGGCACCAAGCTGGAAATACAGGAATTGAGAGGACTCCTTCTTTGGAGGCAGGATGTCTAGTATGGTAGTAGTTATTTGGACATCAGCTACATAGCCTGGTAAATGTTACTCATTGAGATGGTAAGAAATTTTATATGAACTTCCATTAGAGTTGACATCATTAGGACACAAGTTTCATACCCTACCACTTGGATTACAGCAGTTCTTAAACAAAAACAAGAGATGAACTATGACAGCTTAGAAGTCACAACAGATGTCAACTGTCTGCACTCTAGCTTTGTCAGAACATCCCATGGATTAGCAGAAGTTGTGTTAGAATCACCAAAATTTACCGTGGGATCGCTCAATCGTTTTCTTTCTCGGTCTCTTTGCACGATCAACTGATTAAAAGCTAATGACACGAACATCCCTTAGAGAACTCCACTCCCTGGTCTTTGCTGTGGCTTTTCATCTGAAAATGCCTGTGACTCATGCTGTCTTCCCACAAGGGGCAGTTCAGCTGCCCGTTTCTACCACGTGATCAAGACACTCCATGTACCAGGATCCCGAGGGACTTTCTCTGCTCTAGACATTCCCATCTAATCAGTATGAAAAATGTCCATCGTAGTAAATGCCACTTTAATTACAAGCTTGCTTCAACTGGATTAGATTCAAAATAAGCATGCTTAAGACAAAAATTAGATCGGAAAAGCAAAATTAGTAATAGAGCTACTGGGACAAGAGTCCATTTTTATTTCACGATTAAGTGATTTTCTTTTCTAATTCTCATTTTAATATGTAGACAATTATCTGGCACCACACACTGGCTCACAAGTCATTCTGCTTCCTTTCCTGGGTTTACTGTCTCTCTCTTCATTTCAAGGCACCTGAAATTTTGATGCAAGAGTAAAAGACCGAGGACAAGCAGTGTGAACAGGGGCACTTCAGTCAGACTAGGCTTCAAATTCTGGCTATAACGCTCTTTAGCAAAATAACACATGTGCCATATTTATTTCTCTATGCTTTACCTCTTCAGTCCTAGGGTAGTAAGAAATAACACTTCTTTCACAGGGTGATTTTAAGGATACATGAGCGAATGTATGTAATGTCTTTGGCAGATGGACTGGCAAATATAGTAATATCACCTAAGACTATTGAAATCAGAAGGAGGAGGCTTACTTGATTCATGTGTAAATCTGGGATGGAGAAGACAAGCTCCCACTCTCGCTCTGGCTTGTATGAACTGTGAGACCTGAAGCAGGCATTTTCGCCTTTGTGTGCTGTATTAGTAACTCTAACACTGGGATAAAAAGACCCGTGTGACAGGTGTGGTTCCTGGGCACCGTGTCAACTAATACCAGCCTCTTCTAAAAGATTACGTCAGCTCAACTCATCTATGTGGAATAAAGTAACCAGGAAATCTTTCTCTGAAATGCCCAGGGAATAACTATTACTTAAAGATTTCCAGGGTCGTCAATTCTCTTTTGAGCCCTATGGCCAGGAACAAAACCTCTTACCAAAAAACTCAAGTTTTAAAAAAGCAGACATCTCACTGTTGGTGAGGTGTGGAGTGACTAGAAGAAGCGGAGTCAGAACCACATCTATTCTGTATTCATTTGACAGATGTAGATACATCAACAGGGCAACCAGTGCAGCTGACCCGAGGCTTGTGACAGACACTAAACCACAGCAGTGTGTTGCTGATAATGTGGGAGAACCAAACACCTCAGCTGTTCTAAAAATGAGACTTCCTTTTCTAGTCGGAGATAAAAATACTATCTAGGAAGCAGCTGCATTATAATAGGATACACAAAAGAGAGAGTACATGATGGTTAACTTTATGTCACAGCATGACCAAGTTAAAGTAAAGCTACTTGGGGGTACCCATGAGGTATTTCTACAAGGTGCTCCTGTGAGTGTGTGTGTGTGCATGTGTGTGTGTGTGTGTGTGTGTGTGTGTGTGTGTGTGTGTGTGTGTGTGTATGAGAATGTGTCTCTGAGGGAGCTTCTGTAAGGAGAGAGAGCGAGAGAGAGAGAGAGAGAGAGAGAGAGAGAGAGAGAGAGAGAGAGAGAGAGAGAGTCTGTGAGGAAGTTTCTGTGAGGACTGAGTGTATGTGCTTGTGTGTATGAGAGTGTGCCTGCAAGGGAGCTTCTGTGAAGCTTGAACATGTGTGTGTGTGTGTGTGTGTGTGTGTGTGTGTGTGTGTGTGTGTGTGCCTGTGAGGATGTGATTGTGGGTGTGGGTGTGCACACCTGTGAGATTGCCTGTGAGGCTGTGTCTGTGAGTGTCCCTCAGTGGTGCATCTGGAAAGGACTAGCATTTGAGTCAGTGGCTGAAGACCATTTCTTACTAAGCAGCAACATCTAATCCACTGAAGGTCTTAACGGAGCAGAAAAGTCAAAAGGATGGCACTTTCTCTCATTCCCATCTTAAGCTTCCCTGAGAGTTCTTGAGTCTCAGACCTTCAGACAGCAGGACTCACCCAACACCTACCATCACATAGGAACCCCTGGCCAGGTCTCTACCTGATAGACTGTGTTCTGGCTCTTTTCACCACACAGGACAATTCCCTAAATATACTTCCTTCTATATCTTTACTGTTCCTACATGTTCTGTTCGTTTGGAGACCCCTATATAGACAGCAATCTGCTGGAAGGCCTTTGTGTGTGACAGTTTTTATTACTGTCTTCCGTGTTTGCTGCTCTTTGTGAGGGGTTCATATTTCCCCATTCCCTTGGCAGCAGGTTTAGCCAAGCAACTTTATTTGCCCAAGGAAACATGAGCAGTGTGCACTGACCAACTGAGCTCCTTAAAGGGTTCGCTCTAATGCTTCCTTTGTGAAGGTCAGAAGTTTGTGATGGGCACTGGATTTAACTAGCCTCTTGGTGATGACATAACGTATATAAGCAGAGTACAGGCAGCATTTCATGGTATATCACAAAAGCACACGGTCTTCAACTTTAGTTTGCAATCTACATAAACATGCACACACACACAAACATACATGGACATGCTCACACATGTGCACACACACATATACATCCTTCGTATATATTTACTTTTCTAGACGGTTGAGTAATTCTGGGTCTTTTGTTATCTTCTATGAGATAATTCAGCTTCTTAATGCAGCTGGAAAATGTGGTGCAAATGATACTGTGGTGCATGAAAGGACTTCATCAACTTCTAATTAGAAATTGAATCACTATGTGGATAGCATGATAAAATAGCCCGGTTTTAGTAATGTACAACAGAAATTGGTTTAGGGAAAAATTTATTGTAAGGGTAAGAGTAACAAGCTCCAGGGCTGGGCATGGTGTACACCTTGAATCCCAGCACTTGGAAGGCAGAGGTAAGTGGATATCTGTGAATTTGAGGCTAACCTAGTCTACATAATGAATTCCCACCAGTCAGGGTTACATAACAACTAAACCAAGAATAGTAAGATCTAATTAAATGCATTTAAAAATATTTCCCTAACTTCTGAATCAACATTGTTCGGTAGAACTTTTTGTAATGATGGGAGAATTCTAAGTCTATGTTATTGTTTCAATAGCCATTCTCTATATGTGGCAATTAGAGATTTGAAACCTGATTAAAAAAAAAAAAACTAGAGAAACCAAGCAGATGATAAGCTTTAAGTTTACCGGGGTCTTAGCTGTGCTTAGCTGGTAGAATGCTTACTTAGTGTGCCTGGACTGTATAAATGAGTCGTGGTGATGAACACCTGTAAACCTAGCACTAGAGAGGTGAAGCATGGAGGATTAGGAGTTCAAAGTCATCCTCAGCTACACAGGGATACATGAGAACCTGTCGAAAAAGCAAAGAATCCTCCCCTCCCGCAAAATTTATATTTAAATTTAAATACATATTACTGTAGCTACTGAATTAGACGGTAAACCTCAGGTTCTGCCTTAGGAAAATATCTTTTCCTAATAACTGAATTTCTGTTTATGTTGCTCTATATGGAAATAAGAAGCCTGTGTGTGTGTATGTGTGTGTGTATGTATGTATCAATATCTACCTTATTATCCATGTATACAAGTATGCAACTGCCTTACCTCAACTATTCAGGTAGTCATGCTATTGTAGATCCAAGAAAGTATTGCCTGTTCCATGTCAGGTTCACAGTGGGTACTCTCAGTGGGCTATTTCAGTTATGTGGGGAAAATCTTACAGCAAAGCATTTTCCCCAAGATATTCCCTATGTGCAAGTACAGTAGCACATCCCCAAATTGTAAGTCAAAGAGCCTGTCCAATTCATTCAGAAAGATCCATTCTTAAATTATCCTAACAACTTCCAGTGTCATATTAACAAGTCTTTATATTTTATGTTCTCAATTGCATATTAGAAATCAGACTTCTAAATTCTTCAACCAAATTTTATTTATCCTGGACCATTAAATTGAAGCTGAATCTATATTTCAATCTTATTATGTACTTAAGGCAATTAAGTTCAGAGTTTTCAAAGGACTTGTCTCACTATAAAAATATTGTTTCTGGGATTTCTTGAAATTGCAAGAACATGGAACATGGAAAATAATGATTCCAGGTAGTGAAGTCATAATTATCTGGGGAGGCTGAAGGCTGATACTCTATGAAGAAAACTTGGGCACTTCCTCTACCTTCTATGGACTTGGCCTTCCCAATGGGTCTTTTCAGGTTGAGAGGTTAGAACAGTTCCACCAACACGTGCTACTCTGGACCTACCTCGGAGAGGCTTACTCCTCACTCGCTAATTAATTAAGACATTTAATCTTTCTGAATGCTGTTGCGGTATGTCCTTCTCCACTCCAGTGCAGGGCATCAGGAAGAACCGATTCTACATCTGAATGCTCACATTAAAAATCAATTCCCTCTAGACCTTAAGACAAAATCACTGAGGGGCATGCCCCCAGTAAACGATTATTGGTATTACGCTCGCTGAGTTTTAAAATAAGAAGATAATTTTATCCAAAGAACAATAGTTTCTAACAAGCACAAGGGCTCTTGGAATGAAGTCTAGGGCCATTGAGTAGGGATGAGGCCATCCATAACAAACACATCGACACAAAATAACCACCCTACATGTCAGTATTTGAAGGCTTCTATTGAGAAATATAACATGATGAAACGGTTAAGTTTAAGATCAAGGTCCCTTCTGCAGGTACGGTTTATGTGCCCATGTCGACTATTATTAAATGAGCGAAGGGTTCAATGACTATGAATCAGCGGTCAGAAGTGCTGAGTTTTGTCCCAGGGTGCGGAGGTTGCTCAGATGCTGGACGGTAGAGTTTTAAGCAGGATTTAAGCAGCATCTACCTTCAGCCCACCTGGGCATAATTCACAAACCTCCCCAGGCACCTTCTGAAGAACAGTGAGTCACACAGAGAGGTCCTACTGTGGGCTTGGGTGTCCTTTATGCAGCTAGCAGCAGAGGGGGTACGTTTCCTTCCACAGAGGAAGAAATGCCCTCATCAGGTTAGCTGCAAATATACAAAGTTGGATATTTGAGGTAAAGTTTAAGTTAAAAATTAAGCTAGGCATGATGGAGGATGTGGAGATAGGAGGGTCAGGAGTTCAAGGCCAGCCTCAAATACATAGTGAGTCTAAGGCCAACCTGGACAAGGTAGGGCCTTGTCTCAAAAAGAAAATTAAATTGGACAGTCTTGAAAATATATTAACTATTTCAAACACAAAGCCTACAGAGGTGATGACATTTTCCAAAGCTGCTAACCAGTGTGGGAACCAGCGCAAGCAAAGGATTCTGACTCTCAACAAAAGAATGTCAAAACGTGGGAGCAGCTTGCCCTTTTACAATATTTAATGTAAAATGCCTGTCAATATTATACAAGTTTTACCTAATGTTAAATATAACACAAGAAAATTATCTATTTCCTAAAACACAAGTAAAGCAGGAGTCAGAAAGAAGTGGATTTAACAGGAATGTGTTTCTCATTTGTTGTGTCTTTAATTCCAGGGGGAAAATGTAAAACTAGACAGCTACGTCAGCAATTTTCATTGCTTGATGATGGTAACGGTTAGGAATTTGCTCCAGGGAAAAGAAAGTGGAAATCTCCACAGTGCGGCAGCTTGCCACTGGTGCAGGTTTTTAACTGTTCGCTTCCACACGAGCAGACAGCGGGAGACGAGAGGGAACCTGCTTGGACATCACGCGTTCCGTGAAGCTTTTTTCCATTGCTTTGTTAGGTCTCTGCTAACTCAAGTACAGACGTGGTTCTGTTATTCAGTCTTCAAAGGCACTTTAGAGTTTTCTTATTTAGGAAATATTCCCATAGTCTTTGCACACAAGATGTCTACATATACATGTAGACTAAGACTTATTTTTATATTCAAGCAAAACGTCAATTTATTCCAAGTTGCAGAGTCAGTTCTATCTGAAAATACCAGCCCTCCACCCTGCTGATAACTCCTCCTTCCTCCCTTCTCAAATTACCTATTGTCCAGTCTCTTTTTTCCTGAACCATAAGAACGAGTCCACTGCTCGGGGATATGAGCATAACTTAACTGTAGAGCATATTGATGTGTTAGAAACAAGAAAAATAAGACAAGAGCCTTCACATAATAACAATAGCAATGGTCAGAGCACTCATTTAAATCAGTGCATTTCATCAGGCAACCCAAACACGACGGTAAGGCTAAAGGAGAATTTAAAGTTAAATCAACATTCTACCCAGGGGGGGATAAAAAACAAGGGAAGGGGAGGGGTGAAGTTGAGAAGATGCTCTTACGTTACCCACATCAATGTCAGCCTGTCTTTTCTCCCTAAGCTTGCTTTTCATTCCTTGGCATGACAATTCTGATTCTCCAGCCTCCCCATGAAGAAGAGAAAAATCCCCTTGAAGCTGAACTAAATTCATCAGCAAACAAAATTCCATTCATTTGATAAAATGCTAAATGGAAAAAGGCAGGTTTATTTTAAGCCGTCAACAGGCTGTTTTAGTTAACATGCACAGTGCACAAGACAGGAGTTCGGTTGCTAAGAAAATGGTTGGCATGTTTCCACGGGCTCCATGTGATGGGAAATGCATCTGTTCATTTTAATAGTGAAATAGAAGAACAAGAAATAAACAGTACAGGGCATGTTTGGTGAGTCACGGCAGAACACAGGGCCAGAATAACCTATGCTTCTTCAGCATACTTTATTAAACCTCATTATTATGACATTAGCCTTTTCTTGTAATTAAAAAAACCCTTAATCTAATAGTGATGTTTTGTTTATACATTAATACATATTCATTGTAAACTGGAAAATGTAAAATAACATTAGAATCTGCTTTAACATGAACACACACACCAGTGTCTGTAATGTCTGCTACCTACATAGAAGGGTCTTAATGTTTATTTACTGAACACATCAAAGCATGTTTTTATTTACAAATACAGGATCACACTGTGTATATAACTTCCTTTTTCATTGAAATATTTGTCATACAAATATTTTATGTTACCAAAGGCTCTTCTTTGGCATCATCTTGATGGTTTCATTATTATGGGACACATAAGCTGTGTGGAACTCCCACAGGACTTCCTCCGTGGCCTGCACCAGCACCCCCCAGAGAGGCTGATGCTCTGAGATGCTTATGAAATTCAAACAGGTTTAATACCTTCGGCTTGGATATCACACTTATCTCTCTGGTTTGAGATACTGAATGAAATGTATTAGCATTTATGAGCAGACTTAATTCCTCCTTCAGCCACCCGTCAGGAATTTACACTGCTTAGTGAAAAACAACTGTGCCATACTCAGATATCTGAAGGACAATGGCCAAGGACAGCAACCTCTTCAGCAGTCCCTGCCCGCACACACACATACCCCATGATAGTCCTCGGAGAAGAGTAAGTAAGCATGGACATCGTCTCCACAGCCCCTGTGAACTTGAGGTTGCTGCTCTGAGAAAAGAGGATAGGACAATGTGGCGATGTTGAGGGGCTGGAGAAGGGGCTCAGTGGTTTGCCGCCAAGCCTGAGGATTCACGTTCAGTCCCTGGTACCCACCTGGAAGGAGGAGAGGACTGACTCATGCAGTTGTGCACACGCACGCACATGCACATGCACATACATGGGGGGGGGTAAATGAATTAATTTTTAAAAGAGTTGCACCAGTGTGAAAGACTATATCGTAATGAAGTTTTGGATTACATGCTTTAGAGGCTAAGAAGGTCAAAACATAAAAATGAGAAGCCGAGAAACATGGTTGGTCTCTTCAAAGAACTCATTTGAACGCGCTGTCTTCCATCAGGTCACAGTGGAAAATAGGGGAATTCAAGTTAAAACAATAGAGGGCAAACAGATTCTGGGTGACGCTGTAAAATCCTCAGCTGGAAGAAGAATTTTAGTATCAACAAGAAAACTGAGATGTCTGCAAGTTCACCATCACAAGCTGCACTGGGGAGCTAAGACCTAATGAGGAGAGTGTATCTGGCATTCACAAGGCTCTGCCTTTTATGTCCAGTAGACAGACAGAGAGACAGAGAAACAGCAAACGGCTTACCTGGCACGGCTCCTTTTTGATGCAGTACCTCATCTGAACCCACTATCAGGCCATGCTACGGGAAGAAAGCACATTCCACAGCCACGCTTAACTTGCAAAGAAAAGTAACTTAAGTACGTGACCAAGTCAGTTCATGGGTTGGTTACTCAGGGTGTTACAATCCAACTGAATGACACTGCAGATAAACAGATCTAAAAGTGTATAATAACTTATCCAAAATAGTTTATGTCTTGTACACTTAACAAACCAACACAGGTATTCCTATTGGGCGGTAGATAATGATTTACACAGTGAGTCAGGGACCAGGGTTCACTTTGTCTTCTGTGTTTATCATCTGTTGCCAGTCACTAGACATTTGGTCTTTCATGTACCAGTGGACGAAAATGGGGCTGTGAAGAGGGTATTCCTGCTTGTTGAAAGCCTTGAATTAGAAACAGCATCACTAGACTCAGACCTTGGGTCTAATTGCAGGGAGGGTGGGATAGAAAGTCTGATTGTATACTCAAGAAGAGGAGGGGAAGCTTCTGCTACCTGGCCTTCTTCAAAACTGATTGTACTGGGAATATTGAAGTCAGCTCTAATTGCAATCTGATAGTACTGTACACCAGCGAAAATGCATTCACGCCTTAGTGAATAAACATCCATTTTCAGTGGTCGCCAAAAAAGCAATACAGTTGGGCCCAAGCTGCTGCCGAGGGACATGTCTGGGTCCGTGGTCCAGCAGCGGCTGGGGTCTGTATTGATGTCTGTGGCCTGTGTCACCTCAAGGGGCCATGGGAACCGTGCGTGATGAAATCAGAAGGCCATGTTAAGCCGGCCTTGCCCTCTACTGGCCCAGGGAAAGCTGGAGAGCTGGCCCTGATCCTCAAGGGAGAGCTGGAACCTGCACTCCAGAGAGATGGCCCCACTCCTCACCCCAGGTGAGGGTGAACTGACCTTGATGGCATGAGTGTAGGGGAACTGGCTTTGCCCCCTTACCTGAGGTAGGTGGCCCTAGTGGCCTGGACTGACCAGCTCAGCTACCACCCAGGCCCACAGCTGGGCCTTGGGTTGGCCCACCCTAACATCTACCCCATCTATGACCTGCTGGAGCTCATGAAAAGACTGGTCCTGTGGAACAGTACCTGCAGGATCTCCATGACTCTGAGTGGCTGGGGTGGCCGAGGGAGATCCCAGATGATGATGATGTACCAGAAACTGGAGGTCTTGAACCAGACCAGTGACTCATGGCAATGAACATTTGCTAGTGATGAGGATGTGACAAAAGGGTACACTGTGTGACACACCACAGCTCCCAATGCCACCAGGACAAATGAAGTGTTGGAGAGGCGGGAAGGAAAAAGCAAAGAGGTTTTTCTGCTTGTTCTGTTTTGTTCTTGTTTTTGTTGGTTTGTTTTGTTTCGATTTTTTAAAATTTTCTATGGGGGGTGCTGCAGCGGCAGGGGGAGGATGTGGGGGGACAAGGAGTTGAGTGGAATCGGGGTGCATGATGTGAAATTCCCAAAGAATCAATGAATAAACTATATTTTTTTTTAAAAAAAGGTAATGCAGTTTCCAAGTTGAATAGGCAAAAAATCTCTCAAAATTTTCTTTAACTATCACACTGTGAGATACTTTTCAATTTCTACTCCTGTATGTGGTATATAAGGTTAGCTGCCATTTATAATGTTAGTAATATTGTACATACAATAATATTTTTAATTTTTTTTTTGTTTTAGAAAAGTGAAAATAATTCAAACAAGGGGGAAAAAAACCACAAGTGAGAGATGAAAAGGGAAACAACACACCCATTACCATACCACCAGCACCAGTACCACCAACACAACCAGAGCAGAGATGCCTTAGTTTTGTTTCTGTTGCTGTGATAAAATGCCACCCACCTGCCACCCAAAGTAAGTTAGGGGCAATTGTTTTCACTCGCCATTTCAGGTTACAGTCTAACACAGCAGGGAAGTCCAAGTGGCGAGAATTTAAAGCAGCTAGTCACACCCACCGCTCCCTTTCTCCACTATGATGCAGTCAAACCCCTCCCTAGGGAATGGTGCTACCTGCAGCAGATGGGTGTGGTGGTTTGAAAGAAAATGGCCCCCCAAAGGAGTGGCACTATTAGGAGGTGTGGCCTTGTTGGAGGAAGTGTGTCCCTATGGGGCGCACGTTGCCATGATCCTGTCATGATGACAATGGACTGAAACTCTGAAACAGTAAACAAGCCACTCCAATGAATTGTTTACTTTTTAAGAGTTACAGTGGTCATGGTGTCTCTTCACAGTAATAAAAACACTAAGACAGCAGGTCTTCCCACTTCAATAAACTCAGCTAGGAAAATCTTTCACAGGCATGGCAACAGGTCAACGTAATCTAGACAATCCCTCATTGAGCCTCCCTCCCCAGGTTCTACATTGTGGCAAACTGTAGAATTCTACACTCAAAACTGTCATAAGAGATAAACACTACTGATTCTTTTTGACCATTTCATTCAGCTTTTTTACATATAAATTCATAAAAAGGTATGCTTTTTAATTTAATAAAATTGTTAGAGAAGGATTACCAAATAGAGGTACCTAGTATTTACTTACTCCTCCACCAAGAAGAACCTGCAGTGTAAAATGAGGTCATGGATGAAGGGAGAACACTAGATGTCAGAAGGAAACAAAACATCTGGTTTCACAGCCAGAAGAAGGGGGCATCTCTCCTCCACAGAGCTGGGGAGGCAAAGACAGGAGGATGCATCCCTGAGGCCTAATGGATAACCTAGCTAGCTGAACAGTAAACTCCAAGTTCAGTGTCTCAAAGAATACGGTGGAGAGCAACTGAGGAAGACACACCCACCATTGACTTTTGACAATGTGCAAGCATACACATTCATATGCACCTGCACAAACACAAGAATACAAATGTGGACACACACAGACACACACACACACACACACACACACACACACACACACACACAAACACTAAAGTTCTGTCATTTGCTGCAAAATGAATAGAACTGAATAAATGAGACATAGGGCCTAGAGAGATAGCTCAACAGTTAAGAGCACTCACTGTTCTTGCAGTGTGTCACTGGGTCCTAATGGCTCCCTTGGGAGAGGGGGTGAGAAGGCATGGCATCAGGCTACAGGGGAGGAGGTAGGTGAGAAGGTGTGTCATCAATGACATGGACTCTGGGAGTCAGGTAGCAAACAACAAGCTCAATTTATTCCGGAAGGAGCAAGCCTTATATACCCTCCATCCTGCCAGGGAGGGGTCTGTTGTGTAGGCATCTGTTGATGTGATGTGGCTCTCCCTCATTGGTCCAGGTCATCTCACACCACCACTCGGACCCCTTGTCAAGGCCCTCAGGCAGCCTGTTAGGGCTGAGTTATCCCACAGCAGAGGAACTGGGTTTGGTTCCTAGCACCTACATGGTAGCTCACAACCATCTGTTAACTCCAGTTCCAGAGATCTGATGCCCTCTTCTGGCCTCCGTGGCTACCAGGCACACCTGTAGTGCACACACATAAATCCTGGCAATACACTCATATGCATAAAAATAAACATATATTTTAAAAAGTAAAACAAAAAATAAAGAAGACACAAAAAGGCAAGTGCCACACAATCTATGTTTTGTACAGAAACTATTTTTTAAAGTTGTCCTTAAAGTAAAAGAAGGGCTGGAAGAGTTGCAGAGGAGACATACAGGATTAGTAGCAAGGTGGGTTGATACAAACAATGCATAGTGCATTCATGTAGGGAAATATCACAGTGAACCCACTAATGCATACAATGAAAATGTTCATTGCAATAGGTGTTAAAATCTGGAACTGTATACTTAAAATGTACATACTTTATTAAGTACAAGTCACATCTCAATAAAGCTGACTGTATTAGAAGAAAGCACCCCTTCCCTGCAATGTCAAACTAAAATCTCCTCTGCTCCCTATTTTTCTTTCCTGTCTTGCTTTTTATTTAATCTTGTGATTTTGCTTTACTTTTGCTTTTGGAGATAGGGTCTTGCTACGTAGCCCTGGCTACGTGTATAGTAGCATTTACTGTGTAGCTTAAGCTTGCCTCAATACTGTGGCAGTCTTCCTGCCTCAGCACACCTGACCTTGGATTTTTTTCTCCCTCATTCCTCTTTCCTTCTCGCCTGCCTGCTCACCTTTTTCCTCCCTCCTTTCTCTCATTCTTTCCCTCCACCTGTCATTTATAAGCACTTTCTCCTGTTTTCTTTAACTTGATTTACAGCACTGTTTTTCCTATAGACTTTAAACCATCTTTATACAGTGAGTTACACTTTGTTGTGGGATATTTGTTTACATGGTATGAAGATGTGTCTATGTTTTGCTTCATCTGCCTAAGGCACCTGATTGATTTAAAAAAGAGCTGAATGGCCAATAGCTAGGCAGGAGAGAATAGGTGGGACTTCGGGGCAGAGAGAAACTCAGGATTAGAATCTGGTGAGGCAGGACACACCAGCTAGACATACAGCGAGTTGAACATACAGAATGGAGGAGAGGTAAAGAGCCACACGACAGAAGGTAGATTAATAGAAACAGGTTGATTTAAGTTATAAGAGCTAGTTGGGAACAAGCCTAAGCTAAAGGCCAAGCTTTCATAATTAATAATAAGTCTCCATGTCATTATTTGGGGGCTGGTGATCCAAAGAAAGTCCTACAAGAAAGTCCTACTACAATACTTGGTCCTCGGCAGCATTTGTATTTCTGAATATAGTCGGTAAAGTGCCTACCCCTTTGTTTTTTTAATTGTATTTATTTATTATTTATTCATTTGGGGGCACAAAGTGTGTCACAGCACACACACACAGATCAAAGGACAACTTGTGGGAGTCAGTTCTCTCCTTCCATGGTGTAGGTCCCCAGGTTCAAGCTCAGGTCATCAGACTTGGCAGCAAACACCTTGCTGGCTCCACCTTATCTCTTTCAACATCAGCTTACTGTTTTGTGAAATGTCCCTCACAGGCTCATATACTTGAACATTCAGTCTTCAGCTGGTGGTGCTGTTTAGAGAGATGCTGGGATCTTCAGAATGTGGAGACCTCCGGGGGAGGAGGTCCTGGGCCACAGCCTGCGCTGGTCTGACCTCTCCCAAGCTGCTCTGCGCTCTTGCGGCTACAGAGCAGCCCACTACCCCCCGGCTTCCCTGGCAGAAGAAACCCGCCCTCCCGTTAGCTGCTTCTTGTCAGCATCTGGTCAAAGCAGCGAGAAATGTAATGAATAGTTGCCATACATTCTTTTTTAATTTATACTGTTCCAAATTATAATTGGGGATAGTTTAGAGGAACTGTTTATTAAAGTAAAATCTATCAATTTTCAGGAGGTTTTTGCATGAGGCGTTTTCTCCGCAGAGTCTCTGCTCCCATTTTATCAACAGTCATACAGGAAAATGCAATGTTTCTCTAAATTATTGACTAATGATGCCATTAACATTTACTATTCTGTGCTCTAATTAAAGGGTCCTTTTAAAGACTCACTCTCTGTCCCCCTTCACCAGAGCTTGACTCGGCTGAAGCCACACCCCTGACTTTGTTATAGCATCACTTAAAAGACAGGTGGGTGCCCTCGCTTTCAGCTTGTTTCAGCTCGTAGTTAAGAATTTAATAAAACAAATCTAAGCACATTTAAGAATTCAGTGAAATAAAAAACCAAATTAAAAAAAAATCCAAACAAACACTTTACCCTAGGGTCTTCACACTGTTCTTAAAAAATATTTTATTTATTATTCCTCTCTCTCTCTCTCTCTCTCTCTCTCTCTCTCTCTCTCTCTGTGTGTCTGTCTCTCTGTCTCTGTCTCTGTTTGTTCTCTCTCTCTGTGTGTGTGTGTGTGTGTGTGTGTGTGTGTGTGTGTGTGTGTGTGTGTGTGTGAAGATGGTCCTGGGGTTCAAACTCAGGTCATCATTCTTGCACAGGAAGTGCTTTTATCCACTAAGCATCCCCCAGGCCCTCCACATAGTTTTCTGTTGGACTCAGTTCAGAAATGCCAGCTAACTTTAGCTTTTACATAACTTTAACTGGAAGAATGATTTTTGACAGGTATGAAAAATGTTCTCCAAAGCTCATTAAAAGTCAGACGTGGTGCCTCATATCTGTAATTTCAGTACTTTGGAGGCTGAGGCAGGAGGACCATGAATTAGATTCTAACTTGAGTTACATAGTGAGGCCCTGTCCTGAAACAAAACAAAACACTCCCTGTGAGAGCAAGTTTCTGCCCTCTGCCTTGAGTCTGCATTTCAACGATTCCAAGCAGCAGAAAGCTGAATGTTGTTTTTGACAAAATGAAACCCACATGTTCTTCCTGGAACCTGACACCACTATGATTTTGTAGAGTAAGAATCAGAAGACAGGATGGATTACAGGATTAAAGAGAGCTAAGTAAAAGCAAGCCCCCAAGAGGAGACATGAGGAGATGAAGATTTTTGACTCTGGAATTTAGGATTAATCAATCAACAACTCACAAAACTTCCTTTTTATGAGTTCCTTCCTTGTCCGGGAGGGCTCAGCTTGGTATTTCATTACGGATCTCAAACTCTCAGATGCCGCCTACTCTTTGTTTGAGGGGGAAAAAAGAAAAGGGTTAACAGATGATCTTGGACTCTGAAAATAGGATTTTCAAAAATAATTACGATTCAGCCGTGGTCTACACCAATGCCTCTCAAGCCACCCATGGCTAAGAACCAGATCTTGTTTCCCAACCTGTGACGGAAGATTTCTATAAATATTCTAAAAGCTAATTACCAGAAAATTTGAGTGAAAATATGAATACATATATGTAGAAGGTTGTCTTTCACTAATAGTTACAGCAAACAAAAAATTACTATGTCAACTTTCTATCACAGTCCACAGTGCTAACTGTCTTCATTTCCTTCCACACAGTAAGTTAGTGGGCTGACTGGGATCCATCTTTCCCACCTTAAATGACATTGTTCTATTCATTTCTGGTCTCTGAACAATTGTTTATCCAGGCGAGTGTCTCCTGTGACCTGGAGAGAGTTGTCGACCGACTGTAGCTGTTGTGATGCAGCTGGAGCAAAGGCCATGGTCTCTCTGCTCCTCTGCCTCAGGTGCAGTTTCCAAAATGCATCACATGACACATTTAGCTTTTTATTTTCATTTTAAATATCAAGAGTGTGTTGCCTGTATGTGTATACACACACACACACACACACACACACACACACACACACACACACACACACACACGTGTACCGCATGTCTTGTGCCCTTGGAAGTCAGAAGAAGGTGCTGGATCCCCCGGGACTGGAGTTACAAGTGAGCCACCTTATGGGTCCTGGGAACCAAACCTGGGTCCTCTGCAAGAGCAGCAGGAATAACTGAGCCAACTCTTCAGGCTCTGACATACTTAGTGTGTACAAAAATCATGGTCTATAAATAATATTCAAATACCAGAGGATCTATTTGTATAGCATGTCTAATACCTGTTTTCCACAGTTCAAAGTCTCTTTTTAAATATCACTGCCTATGAATTTAGTGCCCTAGTGAATGACACATGGCAAAGTGCGTTCTGGTTTGGCTCCAAGCATGAATTCTCTAGATGCCTTTTGTCCTGTAATTGCTGAACTGGAGGGCTCTTGGTCGTTACATTGGTTCATCCTTTCCTAGTGGAACACATGGCATCCAGACAGGAGCGTCCACGGAGAACATTTCGTTAATCTCATTTTCTCTATCCCCACAACTCTGCCTCAGCTCTGGCATCCTATTTATCCTGCGACGTATACTATCCAAGGAGATTGAACAGGGATGTGCCCTAGGAATCACAGCTATTTTGTTAAGCAGTGAGGATATCCTTTTCTTGATTTTTCTTTCCTTCTGAAATATGTGGGTTTACTCTCCCAGGGTGAAGGAAAAAAAAAAACAGCAACGTTTATGCATTTTTCTTCACGGCATGATCACCAATTGCACCTACTGCTTGGATTGCAAGTAGTAATTTTCTGCAGCATGGTTGTTTCATGCAGCAAAGCATTGGCCTTTAGAATATCTTTGAGCATTTGTAAAGATAAGAAAAAAAATTAAGCCATCTATCTACCCACTGGAGTACAATTCCTTCAACCACCTTTGAGTGTAGCTTCTTAAAAAATATTCATTGTATGGTTATTAAAATAAGCACAGGAATTATGTAAGATCTTAGTGTTACCTTCCCTGTAAAATGTCATTGCATGTTAGTAATTTTTATGGCACTATATCTGAGCTCATTGGCCTCACTGACAGCTCTACCTTGGCATTAACACAGGACCTGACCTTGTTTTTTTGTTAATTGCTATCCTCTTTAGCTCCTTAAATCTAGTACATAATTGTTTTAAGAAAGAAAAATCTGCTAGTGTACAGGTTCGCATTTATGAGACACTACTTTGAAAGCATTTGTATGCGTGGTTATACATATTAATTAATGACAATTATGAGCAGTGAAAATTTCTACGCTCTACTCCAGATAAGCTCTCGTCATTCAGCAGGAGGATAAAGTCCATTCTTTGTCTTAAGAGTTTCTCTTGGGTCTGCTTTGCAGAAAAGGTCATACCAGTTTGAAGACAGAAAAGGGCCTCAAGATCCAGAAGTCAGAACCTTCCCGAGAAATGTGAATAAAGGATTAGAAGACCACCACGGGGCCAACCATACATTCTGAGAGCTAACAGTTAGTAAAACGTGGTCCCAATGTTGCTAGCATGGCTAGCTGCTGGTAACCAAACAGGCTTCATGCTAGCTACAGACTACACATTTAAGCACCAGGCATCATTCTCTCATCTAGGACCTAGTCTGGTCCCTCGTGCAGCACCTTATTCCTCACATTATCCTAGACAGGCAGCTACCGGGAAATCAAGACTACAGGGCCTCACCAGACTTTGTATCTCGTTCGTGAAAAGATGAAAAGGCCTCTAAAGCATTTATTATTACCAATTGACATGTCTCTGATTGCTGGGGCTGCACAAATAAACCCTCCTTGACATTCCTTACACCATCCAAACCTCTAGTTCAAAGACAGAGGACAGCTAGACACCTACAGCTGACTCTGGAATTTGCTAAAAGTTGGTTAAATGTTGTCGATAGCTAGTGTCGGAGCATGAATTTATAATTAGAAAAATCACCTGCCCTGGGGCCTAGTTTAGAACGAAACGAAGTCATATTGATACAATACTGCCTGATGAAGTGTTTTTAAACTGTAGACCATATGTCACATTCCCTTAACTACTAAAGCTTCATGGCATAGAGGACTTTGTTAGGATGGTCAGTCACTTGCTTGGTATTTATGCTTCATCTCTGGTTTTCAAGCTTTCCATCTTTATCGTCTTGAAGGCTTTTCCTGACCTTTATGATACAGATGCTAACTGCAGTCTGTGGGTAGGGCCTGTGTTGTTCCTGAGTGACAGCTAGTTTCAAGTGTCAGTGCTGTTGGCTGGGGCCAGTGGGAGAGCACTTGCCTAAAGTATTGGCCTTCTTCCCATCGTTTCAGGAAGGCTTACCCAGTCCTCAATCCCGTTTTTCCCTTTGCTGCCTACTCGGAAATGTTTTAATTATACTTATGAAAAAAACCTCGATTCATGGATACAATGAGAATCTGGGAAAGTAATTAAGTGGGGTATTCCATGCTCATTATTCAGTAAATGAAGTCACACCTTCCTTGAAGTGGTTAAAAAAAAAAAAAAGGAAGGGGTTGGGGAGAAAAATCAGTTTTTTTATTAAGTCCACAAGCTATTCCAAAAATGCTCAACCTGACAAATAAACAAAGAAGCACCTGAGGATAATGCTATATAAACGCTTTGGGACAGAGCAAAACCAGTACAGATTCACTGGCAAATTAGCCTTCTTTTATTTCCAGCAAAATTAACAGCCTGCTCATTATTCACAACTGAATGCTTTCCTGTCTTATATGTATAATATTTCCCTGTATGGATCAAGTTTAACTTCTCTTCATAGATGCCAAACCAAATAAAAGAATTAGAAGTGGGTATGTGGTCCTGGGTGTGGAGGGGGGGGGCGGGGGCGGAGCTTTTCTTCCCACATGCAGTGGTTACATTGTGATCTGTACCTGCCTGCAGCTGTCTGCATGTAACTCATGGCAAGCAGGAAATATACGTTTTTCACTCGGCCGAGAGCTCTCCCTCTCATCGAATGGAATGTTGGGAGTGCCTTCGTTTTCATTCAAAGATGTCTCATGTATGTGCAGAGGATGTGGGAGTGGCCACCGTCCGTAAGTGAAAACTTGAGAAATTCTTCAACTGCAAGGAAATAAGAACAGATTCAGAGAGGGTTTAAGAAGCTGCCAAATCGTGAGTAGGGACGTGTTTGGAAAGTCTTCTTGCCTTTCCTGAGAGCTCCTTGAGTTTTCTCTGAAACAGCCCCGCCATTCCCAGGGAAAGATGCAAGGAGCTGTAAGAGCAAAAGAGATTCCTGTTCTGACCCAACTGGCATGTGGTGTACACCTGAGAACGTTCAGATGTCACGCTTGTTTTCCCACACAAAAAGTACCATGGGTCCTGTTGTGAACTTGTATGCAGAGACACAGCTGGGGGGTGGGGAGGGGGGAAAGGAGGCAAAGCATAAGCATGCATACAGAGTTCAGTTCTTAGCATGCATGTACAAAACATGAATAACATAGATGAATGTAGTAGCACTCATTTACCAGTTCTGTGACTGACTGTCATTTAGTCAGTAAACGCTAGTGAAATGGGCATTAAGTGTCTGCTCCCCTTGACCTCCATCAGTTCCTACGGACCTCGTTCGTACGTTGGTGAAACTTGTGTTTAGGAGATAGCGAAACACAGGATAAAAGCCGGCCATCCCTGCCTTCATTCTGTGTCTGTCTCCTTAATTGTGGATCACCTACTTAGTGCGTGTTCATCATTCGTGGAGTGGCAGTCTACACATAGCTCATCCCTCTCCAAGGCTGAAGGCACAGACCTAAGTCACTACGTAAACCTGCAGTCACCTTGGATTCTGGGAACAGCAGAATTCAGAGGATGGACCCTCGCTGGACTTTCCCCTCTCGATTGAGAGCAGGATCCATGATAGTAAGTGTAGCTAGAGTTTTCCTGGTCCTGCCTGGCCCACGGTCAGGACAAATCTCTCTCACTGCCAGTCCTGCTCCGCTCAGACCCGACCAAGTAAACACACAGAGACTTATATTGCTTACAAACTGTATGGCCGTGGCAGGCTTCTTGCTAACTGTTCTTATATCTTAAATTAACCCATTTCTATTAATCTATAAGTTGCAACTGCTCTTATATCTTAAATTAACCCATTTCTATTAATCTATAAGTTGCCACGTAGTTCGTGGCTTACCCGTATCTTAACATGTTGCTTTTCATCATGGCGGCTGGCAGCGTCTCTCTGCCTCAGCCTTCCACTTCCCAGAATTCTCTTCTCTGCTGGTCCCGTCTATACTCCTGCTTGGCTACCAGCCAGTCAGCATTTTATTTATACAGAGCGCTATCCACAGCAGGTAAGGCTGTACCCTGGAGCAGAAGGGAACCATCTCCTGAGATGCAGACCGATATCTCAAAAGAAGACAGTGATAAGGACTTTTGGGGGCTGCTGCACAGAACCAGAACTGAGACAGTGGGCAATCAGACCGTATCCTGACTGGAAACGCTTAATCATGCATGCATACGCCTAGTCTCAGTCCCTATTCTTCCTATTTTAATCTTAAAACTCATGTATGTCAGTACCATGAAGATGGACTTGGGGGGTTCACTGGACCTCTTAATTTGTTCCTATTCCTGGTGTAATCCTCAAATAAATCTCTGTTTGCCATCATTGTTCATCTCTCCAGTTGGCATATTGGGAGCATCTGGCTGAGCCTACCTCTGGGCGAGGGGGTGCTACTGAACCTAATATATTGGTGTTAAAAAAAAAAAAAACCTCCAGTTACATCATGATCATCTCACTGTATACCAGATAATCCTCCTGTTAATTTTGTGTACGTATATGTGCATGTGTTTGCATGTTTGTGCATGTTGCAGTGTCAGAGGCATCATGGATTGTTATCTTCACAAATGCCTTTGATCACCTTTGAGACAGGGTGATTATATTGGAGAGAAATTTGAACAAAGCACAGGTTTATATTCTCCCCCCTCTCTTGTGGGGGGGGCAGGGCTTGAATCTTTGCTTGCAGAGCAGAGGGATGATGCTCCCTCATAGATGTGTGCATGGACAGAACAATCTATTGCTGAGGTCCTTATGTTCACTTGGTTACCGGCCAATCAGCATTTTATTTATACAGAGCGCTATCCACAGCAGGTAAGGCTAGACTGGCTGGCCTGCAAACTCCAGGGATCTTCTCCTATCTATTTTCCTAGTGCTGGGATTATCAATGTGTGCCACCGTGCCTGCCTTTTTAATGCAGGAACGAGAAAATGAATGCAGGCCCTCGTGTCTGTCCAGCAAGCACTCTACCACCTGAGCTAGCCCCTCGGGTCACAGTGTACACCAGGCTGATCTCAAATTCATGCTCTCCCTGCCTCCTCCTCTTCATCATTTGCTTACTCATGGTCAGGGTGCTCAAAGCATTTAGCCACTAATGCCAGCAAAAAGAAAACAGAAAAATATGACTTCTGTACAATTTGAGGTACCTAACAGCAAGAGACTAGAAGGTAAGAATATGGGAGGGACCTATCAGGATAAGTTTTGCTTGCCCGTTCCTGTGGTTCTGTGTCTGAGCTGACAGGAGCTGTCTCCAATAATATCGAATTTATATCCTATCTTTAAGTGGAAAGGAGAAGATACCGTTTATCCTCCGACTGCTGCTCCTTCATTGTCTTGAGTTAAAAAACACTTTGTCGCCGGGCGGTGGTGGCGCACGCCTTTAATCCCAGCACTCGGGAGGCAGAGCCAGGCGGATCTCTGTGAGTTCGAGGCCAGCCTGGGCTACCAAGTGAGTTCCAGGAAAGGCGCAAAGCTAAACAGAGAAACCCTGTCTCGAAAAACCAAAAAAAAAAAAACCAAAACACTTTGTCGACCAGAGGTATATTTGGGATGACATATTCTGCTTTCTTTCATCCACTTCACATCTCTTCCCAGGAATTAATTGTCATTACTTTGCCACTAATACCTGTGAAAATACCAGCTTTGAAGTTAATGCTGGCTCCCTACCTGGGCAACCTCAAAGACCCCAAAGTTTTCAGAATCTCAGAGATCTGCTCTCTCCCAAGGGCTTTTGCAAGATCTAATTAAAGTAACGGTGGCAACATATTTACAACAGTTTCTACCTCCTGATAAAATCGGAATAAATCAGAAAGATCTTAAGAGGAGAGCTTGGTGGCAACACAGGAAATGAGCCAGCTCCTCTCTGCTCCAGCCTGCATTAAGCTGGTTGGTTCTCACCAGTACTGCTGTCTGGCCTTTTGCTGAATCACCAGCTCTGTTCACACACATTCAATCTGTTTTCAAAACCCTCTTGTTTGCTTCCAATTCATCTAATTGTGTGTGCATATGAAAGGACCTTGCTTGCAGTGAACACAAGGACCTCAGCAATAGATTGTTCTGTCCATGCACACGTCTATGGGGGAGCACCATCCCTCTGCTCTGCAAGCAAAGATAGCTTCCAGATTCAAGCCCTGCCACCGCTCCCCCCCGGGGGGGGGGGGGGGAGAGAATATAAGCCTGTGCTTTGTTCAAATTTCTCTCCAATACAATTAGGACTTGACATATCTGGAAGTTTTCCCCAAGGCTATCACTATAAGCAGGGGGAAACAGGGAGACATTCTTTCAGTTGGTTAGTGGGGTAGGGTGGGTGCTTGCTGATGCCATTCTAGACTATGGTGGAAGGTGACTTTTGACACGCTTATCTGCCCGAGTTTATATCTGCTTCTACTGTAAGTCATGAGAACCTTTTCTTTAGAAATTAATTGTGATTGCTTTATTTCACTTGGAAGTTGTTGGTGCACTTATGTGTGTAACATTTCAGGTCTTCAGTGAACAGCCAGTGCAGAGCTTGACTCCAGCCCCTCAGAGACCTACATTCCATGGGTCAGGAAACAGTGTCAAAACATTTCTAATGGACTTTACAGAAGAAACTGCCATAAACTTAATTTGAACACCATCATTTTAACCAGGCTACAATTCTGCTAATGATGTATCGAGGTAAAAAACTAAAATAGTCAGTTGATTATAAATAGCTGACTGTTGTAAGATGGTAAGAAACATGAGTTCCTAATCACCGGTGCAGGTCCTGGCATGATACTCGCCACAATTTAAAATCATGGGGGTATAGACCCAAGGGAACAATGTGTATAATGCTTGAGTTATGTTCAGACTGACCGGGAGGATGGCGGGGGTGGGGGGTGGGGGGGGTGGGGGGGGTGGACCGGCGGAGGATTTCTTTATTAAATTGTTGGACGGGAAAGTGCCCGTCAACTGCAATCTAAAAGGCAGCTTGCAGTTTCTGCTCGGGTCCCTCCCCTGTCTACTCTTAGCACACAAGCAGGTTGCAGCAGAAGCAGCCTTCCCACTTCTTAGGTCTCTCGTGTTTTTACAGGAAAAAAGAAAGCTTTCGTTTCGATGCTGCCCTGAGACAAATGTTCCAAATTTAAGTTTCTCCCTTTTGGCCTCATGGGTTGTCCTGACAGTAAAGGGAGATTCGGAATTTACAAAGACTAGCAAGCCACCCCCCCGGCCCCGCCCCCCGCCATTTGCTACAAGATCAGGTAAATAACATCGCTGAGATTTTTAAAGATCCTGAGGATGAAGGGCATATGTATTCTAAATTGTGAAGGAGAACCATTCCTTGAACAAAGCAGTTCTTTTAAAGTGGAGGCAAATCAAATTTATTTTGATCATTTCAGATTGACTTAGCTCTGGGCTACCTAAAGATGAATTTCTTAATATAAAAGACACTCAGCTGTTCAAAACCCAGTGGTGAATTCTGCAAGTTAGATGCCTAAGAATTCTAGAGGAGAGAAGCAGCACTCAAACCATGGATTGAGGGCGAAAATGCCACTATTTCTTCCATTAGTATTTTAATTATAGCCTAGTTTGGGGTATGTAGGATGCAGGAGGATTCACAAAGGAACACCAAACAGTAAGTTAAAAAGCACTGTGCAAATTAAAATTAGTAACAACACTAGTCAACATTAGAACTGGAAGCCTGTCCTACACATAGATGTATCTTTCATTTATTTCTTTGTTTACTTATTCAACAAGCGTGTTGGGTGGGGATTCTGCATTGCATTTAGGATTCAACTCCATACAAGGCAACGGAGAAGCCGTGTTTCAGGTCCTG